CCATTACTTTTTGAAAAGTGTTCAATCTGTAAGAAAGAAGGCTTTTTACGTTAAACATTTCCTTGTTGGATTTTAATTCAATAATAAAAAAATCTTGATCAAGTTTATCAAGTAAAAAGATAGAGAGAAACACGTAACAACAAATTTATTTGGTACTCAACATGTTGTTAATAAATCAAGTCAACTATAAGGTGTAAATTCTCTGCCTTTGATAATTGTTGTTTTTGTATGTCTTACTAGTTGATAAGTATTAACAATTTTGTGAAAATATCTCATTTATATATTTCTTTTCCAGTCACACACTGCTTTGATAAGATTTTTTTTTAACTTTTTGTGGGTTTCGGTTTTATGTTTTGCGTAGAATGAATGAGATAGAAAACACCAAACTCTCTTAAAAATAAATCTCTTTTTTGGTTGGCTTTTACAAGATCATAACCCCCACAAATGATTCACTCTTTTCTCTACTCATTACAACAAACAAAGGGTTACAAAATCATCGGATTGAGATATTATAATAATAGTAATACAAAGAAGGAGAGAAAGAGAATAGATGAATTTCTCAGACTGCTTACTCTTCTAGTTTTCGTGTTTTTTCCAGGTAAGAGCAGAAAGATCACAAACCGAGCCACGGACACTGTTTCCTCGCATGTTCGGGCACTAACTTAGCCACCATCTCCACAGGCACACCTTTAAGCTCTGTTTCACACAACAAATGCCAGAAAAATTACATGAGTTGAGTCATAATCGAGAGCTCAAAGCGCAAAAACCAGAAAAAATGCAGCTTCAGTTACTTAGTATCTGCAATTTGACAATTTATAGATAAGGAAGATTGTAGTAGTACCATGAGGCTTGAAGTTGAAGAGCGGTGGAAGGAAACGTCCATTCGGTAATCGCGCATTCAGATCTCTCAGCTCATCAAAGAATGGATGGACCAATGCATCAAGCTAATTGGCAAGATCACACAATTCAAGGAAATCAGAGAAAGAGAAAAGATTTTGTAGCATGATGCATGAAGGTGAGATAGGTTGCAAATACTTACAGCAGCACAACGGAGATTGGGAGAGTATTGAAGAAGTCTTGAGACCAAATCGACAGCTTCTGGAGGCATTTTCTTGTGGAAAATCTGGATTTTGACGAAAAATGTTTCAATTAACAGTTGCTTATAGAAGACATTGAACATGTTAATTTGTTGTGAATAATGAATATACCTTATGCCATGGATGTGCTTTAATCTGAGGAAATTTGAACTCGGTGTAATTAGGGTTCATGCATTTTATTTCTTCCCTTGTTGGTGTTCCCAAAACCTACTCAATTCATCAACACCACAAATTATATCAATATACATTGAATCTGTTAAAACCGGTACAATTATTAGAGTGAAACCAGAATAAAGGTAGTACCTTTATAATCTCTACAAGCTGATCAACACCACTCTCACCCGGAAACAATGGCTGGTGAAAACAAAAGAAGAGATTGGTCAACCACAGAATTACTGCTTGATCAGATAAAAAACGGTGAACTTTTGAGATTTTACCTGTCCGAGAAGAAGCTCGGCGAGAACACATCCTGCAGACCAGACATCAATGGCTGTAGTATACTCGGTGGCTCCAAAAATAAGCTCGGGTGCTCTGTAATACCTCGAGCAAATGTATGAAATGTTTGGCTCTCCTTTTACCTGTTACAAGAATCACCATTGATCAATAAATTGTTGAATCTCTCTGCTTCAAAATACTTCCCCCAAAGAGAGATTTCATCAAACTCACCAATACTTTTGCACTTCCAAAATCGCATAGCTTCACTTGATGAGTGTGTGGATTTACCAGCAAGTTTTGAGGCTTTATGTCGCGATGACACACACCAATACAACGGTGAATGTAGGATAAGGACCTGAAAATCTGCCAAATATAGAAGACAATTAATAAAATCTCCAATAAGAAATATATT